CTACGCTGAAGATACTTAGATGTATCTCTCCACTTTCCAGCTCACCCCCTTGATCTCCTCACATATCACAAATCTACTGAGCAACATATCAGTACGGATGTCACACAACTTCCTCAAACTCAATCTTTCTAAAACCGAGCTTGTAATATTTCCTCATTCTCGATCCTCCACTTATGACTTTGCCATTAGGATCAACAGCAGAACCATTGGTCCCTTCCCACATGCCAGGGTGCTAGGCATAATCCTAGACTCTGACTTCTCCTTTGGGCCCCACATCCAATCACTGGCTAAATCCTCCTGCCTCAACCTCCGCAACATTTCCAGAATTTGCCCCTTCCTGACTAATGACACCACAAAACAACTTATCCACACCCTGGTTATATCCCGCCTTCATTACTGTAACTCCCTCATCACTGGCCTTACCTTTACACAGGCTATCCCCCCTTCAGTCTACTATGAATGCTGCTACTAGAGATATACACCTTACCAACCGACCAGTGACTACTGCCCTTCTCTGCCAATCACTTCACTGGCTTTCACTAGCCCAACGTATAAAATTCAAAATACTAAAAACAACATACAAAGCTATCCACAACACTGCCCCTAGCTACATCATCAACCTCATCTGTAGATACCGTCCAAATCGTCTGCTCTGGTTCTCCAAAGACATCTTGCTCTCTAGCTCCTTTGTCACCTCCTCTCATACCTGCCTCCAGGACTTCTCCAGAACCTCTCCCATCCTCTGAAACTCCCTAACCCAATTTGTCTGGTAAGCCCCCACCCTGTATGCCTTTAGGTAATCTTTGAAAACCCTCTTATTCAGGCAAGCCTACCCCACCTTCACCTAAGAATTGTACTTGAATCACCTCCACCAGATCATTACCCCTGCAGATATCACGTTTTGTATCACTTCCCCTTCTTTTAGATTGTAAGCTCCATAAGCAGGGCCCTCCTAATCCTTCTGCATTGAACTGTATTGTAATTGTACTTTCCCCTTTATATATTGCGCAACTGTTGGCGCTATATAAACCCTGTATAATAATAATATCAGTGATAGCAGCTGTTAAAGCTTATATGACATTTTAGTGTTTGAGTTTCCATTCACTTTAACAAGCTGTGTTTGAGCTTTTTGAATTGCAGTGCTGGGGAACATTTTCTTATTTACCCCTACACTCAAAAATCCCTTTAATCTGTCATCAAAAACTGAATGGTAGCTAACTCTCCAACTGTTAACACATGACTTGAATATAACTTTAAGCTTGAGGTAATTAGAGCTTAGGAAGTTGTTGCTCACAGCCCGTTTCTAAAGCTTTTAATAGCATTTTTTAATTTATACCCACCTATACCCAAATAAAAAATCTAGGCATACACCAGTTAGACCTACTGTATAATCCCTGATTAAAACTGCCCTGCTGCTGGCCAATTTTACAATGCTGTATCCACTGTGGTATCTTCAATTTTTTTAGTTAAGAAATTCTTTAAGCCAATACTAATAGGTAAATGAAAACAGTAATAGAACAAGAAGCAAAATAAGTATTTAAGTGTATAAGTATTATTTTTATAAAGCATTCACAAAACTGTAAGTTGTGCATCAGATCCCTAAACACACTTAGGTCTTACACAATGAGCAACAGATTTTTTTTTCCTTTTTCCATAACATAGAAAGTGATTAAGCCACAAGGATTAGATTGTTTAAGCAAACTCAGGTGGTGCATTCTCATCAATATTTTTCATATATGTCAGACAAAGGAGTAATGTTTGCAGTGCAAAGAGAAAATATTCATGAGCATTGATAAGCTTGTCCTCCATGCAATCATCACAACAAAGTAAGCTTGATAGAAAGCCTTTTGCTTTGGTATCCAGTGTTGTAACCCCCAACTTTGTTGCCCCCCCACTCAGTAGGAACCCTTAGCTCTGCTGATCCCCCTCTCAGTGGTAACCCCAAACTATCCGGATCCTCCTCTCTCACTGGTCCCTGTTAACCTTCCACTCTATTGCTCTTATGGTGTGCACCACGTGACATTGCTAGTTTTACCTGTTCTGGTTTGCCATCTCTGCTGACCATCCACCTCTCAGTCCTCTCTCTCCAGTCCCCATTCACCTTCTGCTATAGCATTCCCATGTTGCACACCAAGTGTGCCTTTTGGTAGTTGCTCCGATTCGGACCACATTCACTTTCCTGTTGCTGCACACTGCACACTAGATGTGATGTCTGCACCTACCACTTCCAGAATATATATACTCATGATCTGGAAGTGAATGCTCATCATGTAAACCACTTCGCTTGTTGGTTTCCCAGTGCATCCTGGGATATTTTATACCTGCATCTCCCAAGCTTGTAATTGAAAAGATTTGTGTGTAATGACATTGCGTACTGGGTACACGAAAAGCTGTGCCATGTTGTTCAAAAAACATAGGTCGACCATAGCGCTTTTGTAGAACAGTTACACATTGCAGCTGCAAATAGCTAGAAATGCACATCCATAGCTTTAACTTAGTCACATTTCAAAGAGCCTGTTATCTCAACTTAGGGAAACTACTCAGAATTCATAAAACCAGACAGGACCAAGACACATCAATATTAAGTATATATTTGAATGGGGAATATTATACTGAATAGATTGAGATCATACATGACTAAGCTATAGTATACAGAAGGTGAGATAGCAGTCATATACCTCCTGGGTGACAGGCCCATCTGAGATACTCTGTTTAGTATCCCTGGAAATGAAATATAATGCTGAATAATAATCTACCAGTTTCCAGAATGCATCCAGCACATATTGGAAGATATTAATATCAATATAAAACAGTGTGTAAGGGAGGGCCATAATACAGTCATAAACACAGTGACCTCCCCATGGGCACCCCTCAGCCACTTAATTGGTCAGATAGTCTCTGACAACACCCTCTTGATATCAGAGAAAAAGGATACTGCTCCGGAAGATGACAGCTCTCGTTTAACATCAAACCAAGGAACAACTGTAAAGTCATATGAGAGCCAATGTACTATTATGCTTGATTGGACTCTGCTAAAACAAAGGACTTTGTAAGTATTTGCCTTTTCCACACCTCTGTCTTGCTGTTGCTTGTTCTCTCTCTTCATTACTGTTATTGTGAAGTGTTGACAGGCCCAAAGCTATCTGGTGGCAGTTTGGAGTTTAAAGGCTTAATTGCTTAGTTAACCCAGTGGCAATCACTCTCAGTCTATGTTCACTTAGATTGTGTTAGCTGGAAAATCTTTGTACAGGTTGTAGCTGAGGGTGTCATTGTTGTGTAAGTGACAACGTGGAGTAAGGTTGACCAGTCTTTTGTCACGAGTTGCTGAAAAGGACAGTGGTCTGACACCCATGCCATGTCCCCTTAACATTTGCGTTCTAATGGTGGATCCTCTCCCCGCTGTATGGTATGTACAGGTACATGTCCCCCATTGTAGTGCCCAGGTCTTGAGATACGGAGACGAGCCCTCAAAACATGCATCGTCATGGCAAACCAAGAAGCCAGACTAAGGAGTGGCCAGAAATCCTATACATGCTGACAGTGCTCTGTGAGTTCCACTGCTGGGAGTACATGTGTTCCTTTACCCTGTCTGCCTGCATAGCCTGCAATGAGAGAGACTGTTGTGAAACATGTTGCATCCCTGACCAGGATTCTTCTGTGATCTATGTGGGATGTTTACCTGATCTGTTTAATGTGAGTGCATTTGATTTATATATTATAATTTCTTGTTTAAGACAGTGTCTAACTGTGCACTTCCCTTTGTTTCCTTATGTTTTGAAGCATGTGCATCCCCTTGCGCATGATCCCAGGGAGAGCTGAAGATTAATGAAATGAGGAGAGGACATATAATATGTCAGTGTTCTGTGAAGCTGATTATAAGGATAATCTAGCATGATAAGTGGTAAAACAACTCTATTCTTCTTGTTTATGTGGCAAAATATGGTTGGTTAAACACTTTAGCAGCTAAATATTTCAATTTATATACAGTCAGGTCCATAAATATTGGGACATTGACACAATTCTAACATTTTTGGCTCTATACACATACAATGGATTTGAAATGAAATGAACAAGATGTGCTTTAACTGCAGACTGTCAGCTTTAATTTGAGGGTATTTACATCCAAATCAGGTGAACGGTGTAGGAATTACAACAGTTTGCATATGTGCCTCCCACTTGTTAAGGGACCAAAAGTAATGGGACAATTCTTTTCTCAGCTATTCAATGGCCAGGTGTGTGGTATTCCCCTCATTATCCCAATTACAATGAGCAGATAAAAGGTCCAGAGTTCATTTCAAGTGTGCTATTTGCATTTGGAATCTGTTGCTGTCAACTCTCAAGATGAGATCCAAAGAGCTGTCACTATCAGTGAAGCAAGCTATCATTAGGCTGAAAAAACGAAAAAAAAACCCATCAGAGAGATAGCAAAAACATTAGGCGTGGCCAAAACAACTGTTTGGAACATTCTGAAAAAGAACGAACGCACTGGTGAGCTCAGCAACACCAAAAGACCCGGAAGACCACGGAAAACAACTGTGGTGGATGACCGAAGAATTCTCTCCCTGGTGAAGAAAACACCCTTCACAACAGTTGGCCAGATCAAGAACACTCTCCAGGAGGTAGGTGTATGTGTGTCAAAGTCAACAATCAAGAGAAGACTTCACCAGAGTGAATACAGAGGGTTCACCACAAGATATAAACCGTTGGTGAGCCTGAAAAAACAGGAAGGCCAGATTAGAGTTTGCCAAACGACATCTAAAAAAGCCTTCACAGTTCTGGAACAACATCCTATGGACAGATGAAACAACAGAAGAAAAAACAAAACAAAAAAAACCCTGAATGAATCGATGTCATTCAGGTAATTGCTTGCTTATAGCAAAGTAATTCTTTGCTATAAGCAAATTGTGTAAAAAAAAAAATACTGATCACAAAAATACTGTCACCAGTCAATGTCCCTTATCATCGCCATGCCAGTTATATGAAGACGCTATACTGCACTGGTGACAGTATGTAAAAAAAAAAAAATTGTGAAAATAATTTTTTGCATTTTTTCATTTTCTGAAAAATTATGACAAAAAAAATACAACTTCAAAAAACTCGCCATGCCTCTTATGAAATACGTCGGACTGTCTACTCTGAAAAAAGGGGTCATTTGGGAGATATCTGTACTGTTCTGACATTCTTGGACCTCAAGAAATTAGATTGGCCATCAGTACTTCAGGATTGATCAATTTTCAGATCTATACCATAGTTTTGTGAACTCTTTAACTTTCCTACAGACTAAAAAATACATCCTAATTTGGGTTATTTTCACCAAAGACATGTAGCAGAATACATCTTGGCCTAAATTTATGAAGAACAATTATTTATTTGCAAACTTTTATAACAAAAACAAAGAAAAACGTGTTTTTTTAAAAATTTTCGGTCTTTATTTGATAATTTAGCAAAAAATAAAAACCCCAGCGGTGATTAAATACCACCAAAAGAAAGCTCTAGTTGTGTGAAGAAAATGATAACATTTTAGTTTGGGTACAATGTTGTATGACCGCGCAATTGTCATTCAAAGTGTGCGAGCGCTGAAACCTGAAAAATGACCTGGGCAGGAAAGTGTAAAATTGCCCAGTTTTCAAATAGTTAAAAAGTGAAAGTTTGATTTATGATTATTATTCTGTCCCATTACTTTTGGTCCCTTAACAAGTGGAAGGCACATATGCAAAACTGTTGTAATTCCTATACCGTTCACCTGATTTGGATGTAAATACCCTCAAATTAAAGCTGACAGTCTGCAGTTAAAGCACATTTTGTTTGTTTCATTTCAAATCCATTGTGGTGGTGTATAGAGCCAAAAATGTTAGAATTGTGTTGATGTCCCAATATTTATGGACCTGACTGTAGGTCTATATATCAGACCCAAAAGAACAACAAAGAGGGATTTAGATTCAAATGAGTATCATTCAAATGAATGATAGTTGGAATCTATGTTCAGGCCAATGCAGTACAGACGTTGCAAATGGGGTGATGTCTCGATGTCTTTTGCAATCCTCACAAATGTCATTGGAAATGAAGGAGGAGACCTAAGCGTCTACTTTGCTTAAGGCCCCATTCTGCCTAAATCCATCACAGAAAAGAAGTAAGGGAAAATCCCCACTGGGGACACCTTTTCCTGTGACAACTCTCTAATTTGGGAACCCTGTTCACTTTGCAGAGATGTGTCCTCATTTTCTGTTGTGTCTCCAAGATACAAACAACAAAATATAACCACAAAATAATTGAAAGCCATACCGACTGTATCAAAGTAAAGAATGAGGCTCTATGGCTTTACACTTTAAGAGAGATATTTCTCAGATCCTTCCTGCCATATTTTATAAAACAGGTACTTTCAACATATAGACTTCCGGTGCTAGTCTCTTTTAGACAGAATCAACAGAAAAAGTAATGAAGGGTGCTACTTAATAAAGATAATGATATACACTATATTGCCAAACGTATTAGGACTCTTGCCTTTACACGCACATGAACTTTATTGGCATCCCAGTAAGGTTCAATACTCAGTTGGCTCACCTTTTGCAGCAGTAACTCGTTTGAGAAGGCTGTTTACAAAGTTTAGGAGTGTGTCTATGGGAATGTTTGACCATTCATCCAGAAGTGCATTTGTGAGGTCAGGCACTGATGTCAGATGAGAAGGCCTGGCTTGCAGTCTCCCCTCTAATTCATCCCAAAGGTATTCTATCAAGGTCAGGACTCTGTGCAGGGTAGTCAAGTTTCTTAACCCCAAACTCGCTCATCCATGTCTTTATGGACCTGGCTTTGTGCACTGGTGCGCAGTTATGTAGGAACAGGAAGTGGCCATCCCCAAACTATTCCCACAAAGTTGGGAGCATGAAATTCTCCAAAATGTCTTGGTATGCTGATGCCTTAAGAGTTCCCTTCACTCACCCCTGAAAACAACACCATACCATAATTCCCCCTCCACCAAACTTTACACTTCACACAATGCAATCAAGCAAGTACCGCTCTCCTGGCAACCGCCAAACCCCAAACACATCCATCGGATTGCCAGACAGAGAAGTGTGATTCATAACTCCAGAGAACATGTCTCCACTACTCTAGAGTCCAGTGGCAGCGTGCTTTACACCAATGCATCTGACGCTTTGCATTGCACTTGGTGATGTAATGCTCAGCTGCAGCTGCTCAGCCATAGAAACCCATTCTATGAAGCTCTCTATGCACTGTTGTTTTGCTAATCTGAAGGCAACATGAAGTATGGAGATCCTTAGCTATTGACTCTGCAGACATTTGGCAGCTTCTACGCACTGTGCGCTTCATCATGTGCTGACCCCGCTATGTTATTTTACGTGGCCTACCACTTTGTGGCTGAGTTGCTGTTGTTCCCAGTTGCTTCCACTTTGTTATAATACCACTAACAGTTGATTGTGGAATATTTAGTAGCAAGGAAATTTCATGGATGGACTTATTGCACAGGTGGCAACCTATCATGGTACCATGTTTGAATTCACTGAGCTCCTGAGAGCGACCCATTCTTTCACAAATGTTTGTAGAAGCAGTCTGCATGCCTAGATGATTTTAATCACCTGTGGCCATGGAGGTGATTGGAACTCCTGAATCCAAAGAATTGAAGGTGTGCCCCAATACTTTTGGCAATATAGTGTATCTATCAATGTGTCTCAGAAGTTCAAGTGTCTCAACTGTATATCCTACTTAGAGCCAATTACACTCCTCTCAACCTCCAGTGAAACCCTTGTACTAAGTGTAAGAGAGACCATGGCGACCTCATCCATCTACTCTGGTGCTGTCCTAAACTCCAATACTGGAAGGGAGTGGTTGATACAACTAAGAAAGTATTCCAAGCTAACATACCCTTAGACCATAAAAGCTGCTTTTTGAATATTTTGGATGATATAGAACCTAGAGCATGCACTTGTGTGGCCATCTTCAGAGCCCTTTTTCTAGCTCGTAAATTGCTCTTGACCCACTGGAAATCTTTGGACCCTCCCGCCATGAAGGAGTGGATTCAATCTGTGGGCCACAACCTTCATTTAGAAAAGTATATTTACCAACACTGTTTGGATACCCCTCAACTTAGCCCACTGGAGCTAGTCCAAATGCATCTTTTGGAAAGTCCTTCAGTATGGTGCTTATTGTGGATTGTTAATTCCTCCTCTACCTACTTGTCTACTTTTATGTAACTAGAATCTTAATGGTGACTTTTTTGGAGCTGAGCTCTAACTTTGTGTTCTTGCATACACTGGGCTGCTGTACTTTTGTATATGACTAATAAAGACTTTTTTGATGTAGCACTACTCCCTTAGGAGTTGCTGGATTATTTTTGGGTTCCTTGTTGCTCTGGACCCCTTTCTGAAAGCCCAAACCCTGCTGACACCACCGTTCCCTCATATCAGGAATAGATTACCTCCGGAAAGTAAACTCACACACTGGTTGTAGTAAACTGGAAGGTGGTTTATAGCAAATTTCTTTGAAGCTTGGTTACACAGCAAAGTAAAGTCAGTTGTTGCTGAATTCCACTGAACTAGCAGGACACTGACATCTTGTGTTGGTTTTAACATCCTGCAGCTGACATTACAGCAAGGGTATTACACAACCTTGGAAGATGTCTTCAGGCTGTTCACATGATGTGCAAGGTTCTTCTCAGATCTTCTCTGGACATGGATGTTCTTTATTGATGCAGAGAGCAGTGCTAACACAATAATGTCAGAAATGTTCTCTGCATAATTACACTGTGAGTACAGGGTGCTGTGGTGACTCCTTACACATTTGATGACCTCAGTCCTCTGTGTTGAAAGCCGCTGGGTGTACTTCAACCTTAACAACTTAGAACATCTAGTGGTGGAAAAAAACTCTTGCAGGGGAGAGAGCTGGGGAGCAGGTGAGTTGGGCTTCAAGTAATAGAGTACATGATGAAAGTGTCCTAGGACCTGTCCACTGAGTTTTTTAGGACTTTACTCATGTCCATGGTGCCAACTTCATGAAGAAGTGTAAATAGGATGAACATAGTACAAACTGTAAAGTTGTAAATGACCATTTTTATAACAGAATTAGTTATACAAGATGTAGCAGCCAGTTTGTCTGGAACAGTCTGTAAAATAATGATGATTGGATTCAATGCACCAAATTACTTTTGAACCAAAACAGAATATTGTTTTTATGTTAAGCGTTTTGCTTCTTTGTTTAGCTAACAAGTCAATCAATCACTTAAGGTCCTCCACAGTAATATACTCACACTTGGAAGAACAGCATATATGCTCCTTTCAACTATTGAACTAAGCCCTAATTGTAAATCATCATCTTTGGCAAATAACAAATCTATACTGGACGAGGGTGCGTTTCCCTATGCTCCTTTAACATCACCAGGAAAAGTTCATCCTAGGCTAGACATTGCATGACAGTTTTACTGAGATTGCTTGTGGGTTATAGGAAAGAATTTTTCACTTCTGCAGCTGTCTGTATGAAATTTTCTAGTGCTAATTTACTTTGCTGGGGAAATTACAATTATTAAAACCCAGAAGGTCATGCTGGAGTTGTGGTTGGAAGCCGGTCAAATATGCTTCAGGTTTGAAACTATTTCGTGGTTTATCCAAGTTGTGATTTCATAACAAAGGTATGGTTAATTTCACACTCCAGATAACATTTTCCTCGGAAAGCAGCAAAGCATGTTGATAGAGAAAGTAGTAAAAGGTCACACTAGCTGCAGTAACATGGAAAGATATTAATCCGTCAGAACTAGAGTGTGGATATTAGATGATAATCACTTTTGGATATGCTCTTCTTTTCCCTGTGTAATTCCTTTTATACACTTTGTGTCAGGATCACATCAGTAATTTGCAAACAATAATCTGAAATGAGACTTGCATACACACATACATATGTGGCAAAAAGGTAAAGTATTGCTAAACCCAGGACCCTGCATTCAATATATCTGATCTCCCACAGTACACAAAACATGGAAATGCAATTATTTTTGTAAATATAAACCACTAAATACCTTTTCGCATCATCAGTAAGAGCAGTCTTTTGACTCCCATCACTGTTCAGCAGAGCACTAATTAAATCTTGTACAAGGAGTTTTCATTCTCACCTTGCTGTCTTATGCTGCAGGACCCCTGACCCTCTGTCTGGACAGCACTGAATGGCCCTGTACTGATCACATGCGCTTCCCCAGAAAAAGAAAAAAGTCTCTAGCAACACACACTAAACTGAGTATGTGCAGCTTGTTCCCAAGGCTCTGTTCTATCAGGAGATGAAATGGGGACAGTAGAAGAAGGGGAGGATCAGAGAGACAGGATCAAACATCCTTTTTACACAATGTGGAGGATTGACCCCTTAGGTTTCACTGCGTGTATAAGAAGCATGCTTTACTGCATATACAGACTGACTATACTGTTCTGGGTTTAGTAAAACTTAAATGAACAAACAAAATGTGAATATAGTTTTGAAAAAAAATAAAAATGTGATTGTATTTTAAAAAGTGAAAAAAATCCATAAAATACGAATTAAATCTGAAGAGTAATTAGCTGATAAACAGGAAATAGGAAGTAATTAGTAAAATGTATTCACCTGTAGGCAAATTTATTACATGCAGCAAAACAAATTACAAAATAATTCTGTATATCGCAAATGTTTAAACTTTGTATACAAGCAAAAATGTTTTCAAAGTTTTGTCTAGAGTAAGAAATGGTTAAACTCCTATTTATTTTCTGTCTTTGTGTCCCTTTGGGGAGGGTTCCCTTCCCTTCTTGGCCTTGAGGCACAACAAGAAGCAAGAGAAAATCTCTCCAAAATGAGAGGACAGTTGTCACCAGAACATGGGAAGAGTGTTCCAGTTGTCACTTGTTCTGATGACAACTGTAAAATTGTGCTTTTCCATTATTTTCTGTCCTGTAAATAGCGGTCACTAGGACAAACAGAGAGGATAAATGTCCCTGGTAGGGACAGTTTTAACTCTAGGTAGCAATAAAAACTTGACAAATATCTAACCCAGGCATGTTACAGTTTTAAGTCACAGTTAGTTGTATTTTTACATATTCAATATATAATATATACAAAATCGGTGTCATAAAACAATAACAAACTGTGATCCAATAAATACCCTATGTAATTACACTCAAAAGTCCTACTTTCAACCTTGAAAGTCCAAAATCATAAATCATAAACCTTTTTAGTGTCAGTGAAATCATTCCAAAAATATTCTTCAATATAATAGTCCCAAATTCTAATCTATAATTGCTGTGTGCCTCCAAAAATGCTGTGTACCTCCAAAAAATGAAAATAAAACTGGATAGTGTATTATCCTCATTGTAACAGTGGTTAAATCTTATACATAGGTGTAAGAAATTTTTGTTTGTGCAAAAACAAAACCTTATTAGGCAGTCAGGAAGCGAAGAAACGCGTCAAGGGACGTGACGTTGGACGTTGCACGGTAACCGGAAGTGGCGGAGTGGCTATCTTAAGTGAGGTTATATCACTATTTGGTGTTCCAGGAAGCTGCTAGTGGATGGGAATTGGGAATACATGCGGTTTTATGTTTTTATATAATGTAAGCATATTGAATAAAGCCTGGATCTTGTTAATTTGATGTACTGCACTATATGGCTATTTCTCTTTCTATGAATGAGTACCTATGGATGGCTTTGAGGAATATTAAGGCATGACTGGAGGGAAGGGACAACTTGGCATCTGATATAACGTCTGTGGGATAGTTCTGATGATTGATGACCCATTGGATTATTCTCTTAGAAGGACTTTATATCACATATTTAGTGTAAGGGTATTTAATTTAGCCACATAGAAGTGTCCACGGAGTGCTCCCGGAGAAGTGTGTATGTAGGAGTGTACACGGAGTGCTTCACTATTTCACGGGTTTACACGGTTTTTTTTTTGCGTGGTTTTCTGTTTGCACAAAAATGTCTTCCGCATATATATAAGATTTACCACTGTAATTACTATTGCAATAAATGTCCAGAATCAATTGACTGTTGTTAGAGGCTCAGCCTCCATTCCTTCTTTGCTACTTTCCTAAACCTCCCGGATTTCTAATATTGTGATCCCCCTTCACTAGGACTACATATCCCATAAATCCTAGCACCACTGTGCATGCACAGCCATTGCAAGCCACTTTCAATCATCTGCCAGGGGAATGTCTACTGGACATCTGCTGCTTGTAGGTGCAGTCAGCATCTCAGGTAGCTCTGATTGGGCTCCACAGAACTCTGCAAGTCAAGGATTCACCCATACAATAGAAGTTGGTGTCAGAGGTCAGAGGTAAAGGGAAAAAGAAAAACAATAAAAAATTGTCAGAAGAAGCTGAAGGTAATTCCTAACACATCTGGGTGCATTCACACCTGCAAATGTGCCCTGCCTGCGATTTTATGCAAGAAATCCAGGGGGGATGCTGCAATTAGCTGTGAAAAGTAGCCCCATTGAAAGCAATGGGAGGCTGCTGGCTCCTGCAGCTAATTGTGCCCACTCGCATGTAATATCTCATAAATTGCAAATTAGTTATTTTACAGTACGACTAAAGCCAAAACTTTTTTGCTTTTATTGAAGGATTAGGGATAGGCAGCTGATCTGTGTAGCATTATGGCACCGCTCCAAACTGGAGCTAGATAATCACCGCACAGGTATGTAGGGAGAGTAAAATGTCTCCAGTCTTACAAATGTGGTGTGAGGAAGGGCGCTGCTCTAACCACTAATGGAATG